TTGAAGCAGAGGATTACAGCGCATGTCCAGCTATTGCCCGCTATATACCGAGAGCGCCACAGCCAGGACGGATGCCAACAATACTGTAGAGATCCACCCAGCTGCGTGACTGACAGATGGCTCTGCCTATCTAGAGGTAGAGCCAGCTGTACCCGCCCCCTCCCCCGTCCGTTCCACCAGTCACGGCTCTCTGCAGGGAGATGATCGGGAAGTGAGCGAGCGACGGTATGCGTTCCCTCACTTCCCGATCGATAGAGACAACGTGTGACACATCGGCTCGAACTACGAGGATGAGGGGAAATCACTCACCTCATAGTTCTCCTTTAATTTGATAACATACAAATTACAGACAATCCTTCTAGGTTATAACATGTAACATGTACTGAGTGTCATTATAGTAGGATTGTGCTCTATTGGGTTTTTGGGTTTCGATATCCTTTCAGTGGTTCTCCACCTCTGTAACCTCAGGACCCACATTTGTCCTCGGTCATTAAGTGGCGACCCAAGTCGCACTGCAATGGAGCGCACGGCATTAGGGTACCGCGCGTTCTGGGGCAGATGTACGAACTGTGGGTGGGAGGTGCATTTGGGGTACCATTAAAATTAATGGCAACGCAACAGCCTGGATCATCAGCCTGGGGTCCGGTGTGGGTTGCGGTGCTGTGACGGATCTCCATCCATGTGTGCATTGCTTGTACAGCTCCCTTGCGCGCCCTGTAGAGGTGCCGGGAACCAGAATGTGATGTCACTCCGGTCCAGGCACCCCTACAGGACACGGGAGGAAGCTATAAGCAATGTATGGATGGAGCTCCCTCGCAGCCATACCCCTAGCCCACCCCAACTCGAGCTGACACTGGGCACCGAGCAGCATATTTTAAATGGTTGCTTGGCGCGAGAACTGACAGTGCTGGGCTAGGGAGGAGGCTGAGGAACCTCTCGCCTAGAAAAGTGAAAGGCTTGTGGCGACCCACTGAACATGGGGCCGCGACCCACTTTTGGGTCACGACCCACCAGTTGAGAACCAAGGCTTTAAACCCTTGGTTCTCAACTGGTGGGTCCGTGACCCCATGTTCAGCATGACTTTTCTAGGTGAGGCACTCCTCAGCCTCCCCCCCCAGCACAGCAGCAAGCAGTCATTCAAAATATGCTGCCCAGCCCTCCATGTCAGCTTGAGGGGGGATGTGCTGGAAGTATGGCCGCAAGGGAGCTCCATCCATACGTGCATTGCTTATAGCTCCCACACATGTCCTGTGGAGGTGCCCGGACCGGAGTGACATAAAATTCTGGCTCCCGGCACCTCTACAGGGAGCGCAAGGGAGCTGTACCAGCAATGCACATATGGATGGAGCTCCGTCACAGCGGCCCACACTGGACCCCGGGCTGAGGATCCACTCCAGTTCTCATAACGTAGGGAGACTCGGTGGATCTAGAAAAAAATTGTGTGTGTGTGTTGCAACGCAATTGGGTCACGACTTAATGTCCAAGGACAAATGTGGGTCCTGAGGTTACACAGGTTGAGAAACACGGCTTTAAACAATTCCTCCCGCTTTGCGTGGACCTCCCAGAGCCCTTCTGAGGTGAACGCGGGGCTCCCTTGATTCATTCCGGTGCTCTCTATGTACACTCCGTTGGTGGATGATCGGGGGGACGGAATGTGGGATAAGGGACTTTATACACAATATTGTCTGTCTTCTTTTATGTTATTTTGAACATGTTTTCCTGACTGTTCCAACCAATGAGGTTCGACATTTCCGAAAAGTTGCTTTTAATTAAAAGAATTCAGACTTGTGTGACTTTTTTTTGACGTGTAATATTCCCTTTTGTTTCTCCAAGAGAAAGTCACCAAAGAATGCGACGAAAAGGGGAACTGGTTTCGGCACCCTGAAAGTAACAGGACGTGGAGCAACTATACCCGCTGCAACAAACACACTCTCATCAAAGTAAAGGTATGGGGAAGGGCATGGGGAAGGGCATGGGGAAGGGCATGGGGAGGAGCATGGGGAGGAGCATGGGGAGGAGCATGGGGAAGAGCATGGGGAAGAACATGGGGACGGGCATGGGGAAGGGCACATAGAAGGTATGGAGAAGAGTATGGGGAAGGGCACATAGAAGGCATGGAGAAGAGTAAAGGGTACTGCTTCTTCCTTTGGTTTGATGTACAAACCTCTAGGGAGGCATGGGGTGATGTCACCGCACCTTAACATTGCCTCCTGGGATAGCTGGGCATTTGAAATCCTTCAAGAATGCATCCCACCTCATGGCAAGAGTGCAATCTTGTGGGATTTCGAGTGGCCAGGAGGCAGCAGTGAGAGGTGGTGACGTGACCGGTACCTCCTGGAAGTCAGGAACAAGGTGAGGAGGTTTTTTATCCTATTTCTTGTGAAACTTGGTGAGTGGGGGGGGAGGGGTCTGGCAGGAGGATAGACCTTCCATTTGCATGGATGATCTCTTTTGGACTTAACATACATGTGACAATTTGATATTGACCAAACATTAGATGCAATGTTTTGTTCAAATTTGTGAAAAAATATCTTCATTTTCAATGAATTTGCCATATTTTTGTTCTATTTCAATGCAATCTTTATATAAATTTGTATAAAAACTTTAAAAAATTTTGCCCAAAGTTACAGAATTCTGGTGGTCGATCAAACATGGGAGTTGTAGATTGTCTTCGTCACTTATTTAAATTGACTGGAAATTGCTTCGTGTGTGTGTCCAGCTTTATTCTTTCGGCTCTTGAAGGATTTGTATCATTTTTCTTTTTCTATTATTTTATAGACCGCACTCAATCTGTATTATTTGACGATTATTGGACAAGGATTGTCGATTGCCTCGCTGTTAATATCATTGGCAATCTTTTTTTATTTCAAGTAAGTACTTTTACATTATTTTTTTTTACCATCACAATATATTTGTGGAAACGGTACAAAAATGAAACCTGTGTTTTAAAGTGAACCTGCAAGTCCATAAAGAAGGCACCCCAAGCTCCATTAGACAATTTTGTCTTTAGAACAGTCTGGGATCAACAAAATTCCAAATTTCTTTTGACCTCTCACAGCTTTAAAGGTCGATAACTGCCCCGCCTCTTCTCAACCCCCCCCGTGCCTTTTGGTTGGCTGCCACATGCGATGGGTGAGCTCACTGGGCAATGAGAAGAGGCAGGGGAGAGGGAGGAGCCAGAAAGCTGGTGGTGGTGGTAATTGCCTTTTAGACCCATTGGACATCCTTCCTCAACCTTTTAAACACGAGGGAATACTTAAAACAACTTTCGGATCTCGGGGAACCCCTACTAATAATTACAGCGTCAATCACCATGCACAAAAGTCCCGCCGCACGACGACCACCCGAACTCGACGCAAAATGACATTCAGCCCAAATGTCAACAGATGGGCGGAGCTCCGCCCATTTGACATTCTCAGCTGTCAAATGCTACATAGCATTCGGAAACTCCCGAATGCTATTCGGGTCTGTGAGCCGAGGTGTCGTAATGCTTTTCATGAAACGCTGGATTACATCGATGGAGCCATTTTTTTTTTTTTTTTTAATTAAAGGATTTTTATCTAAAAGTCTGAACTATTTTATTTAACCCTTTAGTGAATGGGTTGGGTACAAGTACCCCTTACTCATTCACAAGGGGGGAGGGCGGCATCTGGGTGCCCCCTTATTTAAAGGGGTACCCCCACAACCACCGGGTCAGGGTTGTGAGGAAGAAGCCCTTGTCCCCATTGGCACGGGGACACCCTCCCAATGCTGAGGGCACTTGGCCTGGTAAGGCGCAGGGAGGGGGTGCTTGATCGCCCCCCCCCCCTTTCCTGCCCTGCCGGGCCAGTGCTCGGATCAGGGGTCTGGTAGGACTG